GGGGAGCAGGTACCCGAATTTGACAGGTACCCGCTCCCACTTCCACTGCGATCGCCTAGGCAATCGGAAGCAGAAGTTGTCCTCTCTCCCTCCCCGTAGTCTTCTGGGACACGACAGGTCCCAGAAGACTACGGGACCATTCACAAAGCGCAGTGCTTCTCGCGCATGCGCAGTGGGCACCCGGCTTTGAAGTTGCAAGCTGTCACAGCCAGGTGCCCACACTAAAGATGCCGCCACCAGGGAGAGAAGACAGCCAGTGATTATTTAAATTTTTTTCCTTTGCATTAATTTTTTGGGTAATTAAAAAAAAAAAACTGGAATAGTAAATGTCTTTTTGTTCGAATTTGCAAATAACTTTGTCATGCTTTTTACCAGAAAAAAAAACATTTTAAACAGAACAAATGATGGAATAAAACAAACTTTTTTTTACAGTAAATTAAGTATTCACATTAAAAAACTTTTTTTTTTTTTTTTTTTTAAATAAAAAAAAGCTTTTCTGGAGGCCAGAGGCCAGAAGATCCCCAAAAGGGGGCAGTTAATGACTGACCTGGCCTGATCCATGCAAAACTTTTGAACTTGCAAGAACTCATTAAAGATTTTCAGACCCAGAATGGGCCAAATGCCTCCATTTGCTATGGAGTTTTGAATAGAAACCCTGAAAGAGTTCCTTTTTTAGGGTCTGGGGTAATGACCTCCTGAGCAAGGAGCTGCTCAACAGGAACAAGAGGATCCACCCTTTTTTTAAACCTCATTTTGTCTATAGATTATATAAAAATGTTAATTATTTTTACATTTTTAAAAAGTAAAATAATTTTTGCAAGAATGTATTGCCAAAATGAAGTATAGTTTATCAAACAATGTAATACTTTTGGTAATTAAAGTATAGACAAAGTTAGCCCCGAAGAAACAGCCACTAATGGAAATGTAAAAATAGCTCTGGTCCATAAGGGGTATAAAAGGTACCAGAGTGGAAGTGGCTAAAGCATGCTTGTTCTGGATTTGTGATTGTAAAGTTCTTACTTAAAGTGGTAGTAAACCACCAAAAAAGAAAAAAAAAAAATCACCCTGCAAAATAATGAAAGACTTACCTTAGAACGAAGTCCTTCATCGGCACACTGTCACTGATGACAGGTCTTCCATCCTCACCCAGTCTTCCTTCTGGGTTTGCAGGCTCTGGGCTCCACTTGATTTGCAGAGCCATGATGATGCCATGTGAGCCGCGATGGGAGTCCCAGCCGTGGCACAGAACTCTGAAGGATTGGCATACCCATGCATGCACCAGTGGGATCGTCGGATGCAGGGACACTAAATATCTCCTAAAGGGTGCATGTTTAGGAGATATTCCTTGTACCTATAGGTAAGCTTTATTATAGGCTTACCTGTAGGTACAAGTGTCCAGTGGGAGTTTACTTCCACTTTAGGTCAGGCAACTTGTATTTTGTTCTGGGGGCAAGCAAAAGTCACTTTTTGTACTTTCCCTACACTTCCCTATTGCCAAATCAACTTTAAGCCCAAACCCCAAAAGTTATCTGATCCCTGTATGTAGGATGTTAGAGAATAATACTTTTTGGTGCGAAGGAAAAATATAAAACCTGGTATATTGATTTAATAGATTATTAAATAATTCTAAGAATGAGTAAAATCAAAGTATTATAAGAAGGAGAAAAATCAAACTTTTTTCATATTGGAGAGATCCTATGGATAAATATTTTCTTTTTAATTTTTGTATTTTTTTTTAATTTATCATTTTGTTTATTTCTCTAATATGAAATATAACAGCGTTGAACAGCAAAAAGTGTAAATCAGGTTTCCCAGACCCCTGGATGACCATTTACTATTGTTGTTCAACCCCCAAAATACATATCTTAGAATTCTTTCAAATATAACATGTTTTAATGATTTGGACCTACAAAATATAGTGATTGGCATACACACTAAAAAAATGAACATCCAGTGCTTGCTTTGGCAGCACATATACAGATATTTAACAAAAAAAATCCGATTAGAAGGTAAAAAAAAAACATTTTATGTCAAATATCGGTCAAAACAAGCACAGTAAAATGTTAATTTTACTGTTTTTTAGAGTATAGTTTTTTTTTATACGATTATATTGAAGAAATGTTTTACATGCTGTGTGTTACATTTTATGTTAAATATGTGTATATGCACTGCCAAAACAAGCACTGGATGTTGATTTTACCTTATTGCTTTTTTTTTTTTTTTTTTTTTTTTTTATATTGTATCGAAGAAATGTTTTACATGCTGTGTGTTGTCGATGTGTTAAAAAAAATCCGGCTAGAAGGTAGAAAAAAAACATTTTAACACATCGACAACACACAGCATGTAAAACATTTCTTCAATATAAATCGTATAAAAATAAACTATACTATAAAAAATAGTAAAATCAACATCCAGTGCTTGTTTTGTCAGTACATATACACATATTTAACATAAAATGTTTTATTCTGCCTTCTAGTTTGATTTTTTTTAACACATTGACAACAAACAGCATGTAAAACATTTCTTCAATATAAATTGTATAAAAAAACAAACTATACTCTAAAAGAAAAGTAAAATTAACATCCAGTGCTTGTTTTGGCAGTACATATACAGATATTTAACATAAAATGTTTTTTTTCGACCTTCTAGTCAGATTTTTTTTACTACATCGACAACACATCGCATGTAAAACATTTCTTCAATATAATCGTATAAAAAAAAAAAAAACTATACTCTAAAAAAATGTTAAATTAACATCCAGTGCTTATTTTGGCAGCACATATATACAGATATTTAACATAAACAAAAAATCCAACTAGAAGGTAGAAAAAAACATTTTAGTTAAATATCTGTATATGTGCTGCCAAAATAAGCACTGGATGTTAATTTAACATTTTTTTAGAGTATAGTTTTTTGGGTTTTTTTTTATACGATTATATTGAAGAAATGTTTTACAGGCTGTGTGTTGTCAATGTGTTAAACAAAAAACCCAACTAGAAGGTAGAAAAAAACACTTTAACACATCGACAACACACAGCCTGTAAAACATTTCTTCAATATAATCCTATAAAAAAAAACTATAAAACCTATACTATAAAAAATAGTAATCATCTCACAAACAGATTGTGAATTTACAAATACAGAAGACATACTAGAAAATAGTACAAGCCAATCAAAACTAACAAATAATGTTAATTTCCATAAAAAAACACTTGAAAGGCATTTTTGCTTGATCTCCATGCCAATTTTTATCATTTGTTCACTTAAAAACAAGAAAAGGTTTGTGTGATTAAAATCTGACTAGAAGCAATAAAATTGTCACTGGTTAAACAAAAAAAAAAAAACAATAAAATTGCTAATTGGGGAAAATCAGATCTTCGTACCATTAGATCTGCTTTTAGCATACAGAAGCTGGATAGTATCTGGCCACAGTCGTTGAATGGCATTCAGATGTGCATGTGTGATATAAGCTCTCTGCTTATAAATTTCAATTACAGTTTTGTGCTCTCAGTGGAACAGACACCTCCAGCACCAGTTTTCTCATAATGAAACAAAACAATTGTATTGGGCAAGCTATTCCAATATAAATAATGATAGTTTCCATGCTTTTTTTTTTTAAGTGTTTTCAATATACTGAGTTGCCTCCAGTATCTAAAAGTACCCTCTTTCCCCCATAATCTATTGACAAGGTGGTCGGAAAGGGGTCAAAAACATTGTGGTTGTATTCTAATCCCACAATTTGTCTGCAGTAATCATCTGTTATCTATGAGTATCTTCACAAACTTTATGCTGTTCAAGTTCATTACACTCACCCACTATTATTAATATCATCATTAAAAGGCAGCCAAATTGGTGTCTAACTGTGTTGCTATTTTGTCCTTCTTTGTGTGATATTTTAGTCTGTAACTCTAACTTTCTGAGAATGATGGGCACTTTTCCTTGAACCTACCTAATCTTTAGGAAGACTCAAGGGATGGGCAATATACACTCTGGCCACTTTATTAGGTCCACCTTGCCAGTCCTAAGAACATCTCTCCCACACCATTACACCACCACCACCAGCCTGAGCCATTGATACAAGGCAGGATGGATCCATGCTTTCATGTTGTGTACACCAATTCTGACCCTACCATCTGAATGTTACAGCAACCAGTCTGCCCAGTCTCCTCTGACCTCAACAAGGCATTTTCATCCACACAACTGCCGCTCACTGGATATTTTCTCTTTTTTGGACCATTCTATGTAAACCCTAGAGTTGGTTGTACCTGAAAATCCCAGTAGATCAGCAGTTTTTGAAATATTCAGATCAGCCCATCTGGCAAAAACAACCATATCATGTTCCAACCCACTTAAATCCCCGTTCTTCCCCATTCTGATGCTCAGTTTGAACTTCAGCAAGTTGTCTTCACCACGTCTAGATGCCTAAATGCATTGAGTTGCTGCCATGTGATTGGCTGATTAGAAATTTGTCTTACCAAGTAATTGAACAGAGGTATCTATTAACCACTTGTCCTTCAGAGGATTTACCCCTCTTCCTGACCAGGCCATTTTTTGCAATATAGCACTGACAATTGCGTGGTCATGCAACGCTGCACCCAAATGAAATTTATGTTATTTTCTTCCCACAAATAGAGATTTCTTTTAGTGGCATTTGATTGCCTCTGCATTTTTTTATTTTTTGTGCTATAAAAATGAAAGACTGACAATTTTGAGAAAAAAAACAATATTTTTGACTTTCCAACAATCTGAAAATGTCTAAAATAATGAAGTCTAACAAAGATCTGAAGTATTTGTTATCCCCCAGGGATAGACAGATTCTCCCTATCATCATAGGTGATGCTCTACTTGGGCCAGTATCAGCCTATGCATGGCCAAACTTAAACCTTGATGAAGATCAAAGGGGGGGGGGGTGAATAAAGGCTTGCCACTTTTTAAGAAGAGGATATATTTATAAATCTGGAAGCTAAATATAAAAGCAGTGATGTCATAATATCGCTTACCCTTGGCACAAGCCTCATGAAGGCAACGCAGTTTCCAACACATCACACTCTCTTCGGACGAGAAGTCTGCCCGAGGTGGCACATAGTTATTTTGCAGGTATGCTCTGGGGTTGAATAGTTGGTAGGATTTTGCGACGGCCTGAACACCATTCATTTTGGAAGAGAGGATGCTGAACATGCTTGTCTCCCCGTACTTTTATAAGCTGGACGTACCACTCCCAGCCTATCATCAGTCTACATTACAGGTACATCTCCCATCAATCTCCATGGCAGCTGCCTCCACCCTCATCCTTAGCTGGTGTGATAGCATCTCTCATATTGATCCAGCGTGTTTTGCCCACAGGGTTACTGATCAGGACAAGGGTATCTAGAAATGCAATTTGCTTTATCTTCCAGATGCCAGCCGCCCCTGAGCCGCGACACATACATTTAAACTGTGCTTGCCTGTATTTAGAAATGACTGCATCTGAATCACTCACAGATATCCTTTTTATATGTATTCCTGTGTAGAGGTTCACTCTGCATTTCTTCCTGCATGTTAGCATTGCCGAAAAATCAGGGGAATAATCCCCCAGTAGAGATAAGAAATAATGGAAACCCATTCATTGCTTGCCAAGTGAATATTCAATGTGTCTGGTGTGATAGTGAACTTGCATTTCATTTGCAGGGTGTGGACACACAAAAAGGACACATGCTCCCAGCCCTCTGGATGACTGATGGGATCAAATTGGGGGTCTTGCCTTGAAAAATTTCTGGGGCTTTCGGGGCAAGAATTTCCTGACCTCTGTAAAGTCATTGGCCTAATAAAGAAGCAATAGTTGCAGGGGCATTGGTGAGAATGGGAAGACCTTGAGCACCATTAAAAAGAGCAGTTCTATGGTGAATGGTGGACGTGACCAGTTTGAAGTTACAGTGAGAAGGTATAAAAAAAAAGCCAATATACACAGATCAGCTATAAGAATATGACCACTGAAAGGTAAAGTGAATGACATTGATTATCTCATTACAATGGCACCTTAAAGTGGGTGGCATACTGTATATATCAGGCAGCAAGTGGCCATGTTATATACAACAAAAATAGACGATGGTAAGGATTTGAGTGACTTTGACAAGGGCCTAATTGTAATGGCTAGATGGCTCGTGGAATGTTCCTGGTCTGCAGTGGTTAGAACCTACCACAAGTGGTCCAAGGAAGGAAAACTGGTGAACCAGAGATGAGTTCATGGGCAGCCAAGGCTCATTGATGCACATGGGGAGTGTGTACTGTAGCTCAAATTGGTTACAAAGTTAATACTGGTTCCAACAGAGGTGTCAGAACACCAGGGGCGGACTGACTATTTGGAAACTCTGGCACTGCCCGAGGGCCCGGGGTCTGTATGGAGCCCCATGAGATGCCCCTGGTACCTTTTTCATAGGCTTTTTTGAGTTTGGGCAAGGACACAGGGCCCCATGATCCCCTATTGCCCAGGGGGCCCCATGAGTTGTCAGTCCGCCCCTGCAGAACACACATTGCATCTCAATTTGTTGCGTCTAAGGTTGTTTAGCTGAAGACTGGTCAAGTTGTCCATGCTGACCCATGTTCAGAACCAAAAGTGCCTGCAATGGGCTTGTAAGCATGAGAACTGGACCATGGATTGAAGGAAGAAGGTAGTCTGGGCTGATGAATCACATTTTCTTTTACATCATGTGGATGGCTGGGTGCTTGTATGTTGCTTACGTGGAGAAGAGATGGCGCCAGCATGCACTATACGACGGCCGATCCATGGGAGGCCCCACCTTGCAACTTACACAACTTAAATAATATGCTATTGATGGCTTAGTGCCAGATACTACATCATACCTTCAGAGGTCTAGTGGTGTCCATGCCTTGATGGGTCAGGGCTGTTTTGGCAACAAAGGCTGCTTTCACTCTGTTCTGTTGCAAAAATGCAGTAAAAATTCATATGTGTGTTCCAAGTGCATTTTGCACCTGTGAAAAAATACTTGTGACTTCAAAAATGCACCAAAAACATGGGTGCATTTTTGACATGTTTTCCATTCACTTCAATGAGGGAGGGGGTGCGTTTTTTTTTTTTTTTTTTTTTTTTACCGCGCCAAACATGCATGAAAAATGCAGCATGAAGGACTTTTGAAAACGCAACTGATCTGCAACTGACTGTTGTGAAGAGCTTACACCATGATTTAATGATAATGTATTTTCTTCCACTTTTGGTGGAAAGGGTCCAAAAGGGGGACCTACTCAATATTAGGTGATTGGTTATAATGTTATGGCTGATTTGTGTGTGCCACATACTGTATGTCATAGCCTTTGTGCCACAAGTGACAGGTAAAACTCAGCTCAAGGGTTCATTTAAGGAAAATTAAACTCTTCGTTTAAATATTCTTTTCTGAACATAGAATATAGGTAGAGTGTCAACACTTTGAACCTACCTTAAAGAAGAACTAATTTAAAATAGTTTGACTCTACTCTACAACTGGGTGCAGTGGTCAGAACTATATAATGCAGATCATATAGAGTACAGCAGTCCAGCCAATGTAATGAACAACACAGCATACACAGAAAAGAACTGTCAAAAGACCTGCTTAACAAGGTAATGGAACTTTATACAGATGGAAAAAGGATATAAAAAGATTTCCAAAGCCTTGAAGATGCCATATTTTTCCAGAGCAGCCTGTATTTCTCTTGAGGTTACCTGTGGGGTTTTCTTTGTATCCTGAACAATTCTTCTGGCAGTTGTGGCTGCAATCTTTCTTGGTCTACCTGACCTTGGCTTGGTATCAAGAGATCCCTGAATTTTCACTTCGTAATAAGTGATTGAACAGTACTGACAAGCATATTCAAGGCTTTGGATATCTTTGTATATCCTTTTCCATCTTTATAAAGTTCCATTACCTTTTTATGCAGATCTTTTGGCAGTTCTGTTCTGCTCCCCATGGCTCAGTATCTAGCCTGCTCAGTGCTTCCAAATGAAAGCTAATGAACTCACTGTCTATTTATACACAGACACTAATTGCAATTTAAAAAATAACAGATGTGGGAAATTAACCTTTAATTGCCATTTTAACCCGTGTGTGTCACCTTGTGTGTCTGTAGCAAGGTCAAACATTCCAGGGTATGGGAACTTTTGATCAGGGTAATTTGGGTGATTTTTGTTATCATCATGATTTAAAGAAGAGCCAAACAACTATGTGATAATAAATGGCTTCATATGATCACTTTCCTTAAATAAAAGTTTTTGGCATGATTAGTCAGTTTTTCAATATAAATGCCAAAAATTTCACGGTTTCTCCCAGGGTATGCAAACTTTTGATCACAACTGTAGCATGCAGAAGTCAGGACTAAGTAGCCTATAGAGTGCAGCAATCAGAAGTATCAGAGTACGCAGCAGTCAGGAGTTTGTAACATACAACAAAACATATGAGACACGGTGATCAGGACTACGTAATGCACAACAGAGCTTAAAGAATGCAGAAGTCATGACTATGTAGTGTGTAAAATGAAGTGCAACAGTCAGGAGAACTACATAACATATAGAGTGCAGCAGTAAGAATGTGTAACATAAAACATCATTTGTTTTCCCTTGATCAGTCTGCAAGAAAAAATTAAGCATGAATGGCTAGCCTGAGCTTGTAGGCAGGTGCTGTGCCGGACGTAGCGTCAGACCCCCAGCCCTTCTCACCAACTCGTGACCAAAGGACTAGCCAATCTAAAACCGCGCTGTCACATGCGTAACAATACAACGCTCAGCTGCACCCTGCACAAAGATTTTCCAGCTAATGGACCACAATCTATGTACTGCAGCCTGAGAGCGATTGTTACTGGGTCAGGTTAATTACGCAATTAACCCTCCACACTGCCATCACCGGCTTTTTGTACAGAGAAAGAGGAAACTCACCAATCTTAGCAGTAACACTATGATGTTTAAATAAGCCTCTGGATACACACTGTCACCACAGGCAGATATATCCAGAGGTTTTAAAACACACAGTAGCACTCTTCAGAGACAGGGATTCTTAGTTTGCATTAAAGAGCTTTAGAAACAGTTCAACACTTTTCAGATAATAGGATTTATTACTAAAAAGGTCAAAATGGTGCAAATAAAATATTTACAGAAAAAGATGTAGCCAATATATATATATATAAATACAGAGAGCAATAACACAGCAAAGAGATAACAGAAAGAAGTTTAGAGAGGTAGAATACTTGCCATCAGCCTTGGTTTAAGTGTCAGAGCAAAAGTGTGCCTTTTCTCTCAAAGTTGGTTCCTGATGTTAAAAGGGAGATCTCTTCATCTTGCCTCTCTCAGGCCTGACAGCCTATTTTCTAGTCCACCAGCAGGGTGTCTCCTTAAAGCTGAGAAACCAATCGCCTCAGTTGGGGAGGGTGTTTAGACAGGGAACTCTGCTATGACCAAATCCCTCCCACGTTTATACCATGGTCAATAATCTTCCATAGGTACATGGAGCATCCTATCCACTGGTAGGATAATATGCAGAATCATCTGCTGAACGTCTAGATATCAGATATGACATATCTACCTGTGACGGTTAAAGAGATATCGCTTTCTGCATCTCGGGTAGACTTAATCTAGGGGGTGTAAGATATCAGGCGACTCGCATTAAACTGAGCTATCCGAATATATGCTTTGTTCGATTGTATGTATTCCCTATTTTAAGCTATGAAATGTTGTTTTTAAATGGGATGTATGTTTTACGTCTATTCTGGAATGTCTTTCATGTCCAGTGAAGGACTGGTTTATAGCTTTACGATCATCTCCAAACAAGAGTCTCACAGACATTCTGGGCCCGGGCTAATTGGGGTTTCTAACCATGAAGCTATCCACTGTGCCTGATGCCTTATGAACTCAGCATACACACAGACCACATTCCTGAGGGAGGGAGATTGGAGGGAGAGAGAATGATACAAGATGGGGAATCTTGAGCAAGATGGATGACTGCGTCCATATTTGTGTGCACAATTGCTACAGGTGCAGTCTACTCTCTACACTACAGGTGGTGCCCAACCACAGTGGCATTGCAGAGGATGATGAGAGGAACATGGTTCCTCTATGGGTTCCTTGGCAGTGATCCTGTTGGATGCTGGCATTGCAAGTGACTCTGGTGGCTATCTTAGGTCAGGCAGAGTCT